AGAAGAGCAGTACAACAACATCTAACTACTATTAAATCTAATATCAGGGCCAAAGGAAATGATCATCTAAGATCAGAAAAGAACAAAAATTTCTAGTACCCACAAAAAATTAACTAGCTCAAGAACACATTTCATCACCAATCTTGATAGATCTCTGCCTCCGATTTTTCAGCATCCACGTCTGAAGAACAGAATCTTGATGCTTAGATGGAAATCCCACTGCTCTGCTTTGCCTTCTGGACATTGATCTTGTCCTAGATTTCACTTGATTCATCATCTCTTCTTCCTCTGGTTCCCGATTAAGAACTTGAAATTTGCTCAAAATAAGTCCATGATTGAATTTCACAGCTGCTTTTCTTCTTCTGACAACTCTTCTTTGAATATAAGGGACTCCCACAACAGAGCCCGCTGTAACAAGGTGGATTGCCTTGACAAGCAGATCAAGGCCTTGGCAGCGTTTAGAACTGGAAGAAGCACTTATACCTGATGAAATTGGACAGAAATTTGGTGGGGTGGAGGAGGATGATGAATCTATGGAAGAAGCTAAGGAGTTGGTGGTGATTGATGAACTTGAACAATTTGAAGATGCTGATGTAGGTGATGATGAAGAATAGGAAGGGGATGATGATGGAGAAGCAGAGATTAATGATGATTTTCTTCTAATCCTCATAGGAAAAGCTGTTTTAAGAGGCAAAATTTGGGTTCAGAGGAAGACAGATATGAAGAAGAGAGGAGGAGCAAGGGAGGAATGGGGAGGCAGGGGAAGGTCTGTTGGGGGAATTTTGGGAAATAGTGTGTTAATATTTGGATCTGTACTTCTGTAAATTGTACTGTTTCTTTTATTATTATTTTTTTCATTTCCCTGATGTTAAAATTTATAACAGCAGCATCAGAGAGAGAGAGAGATGATAGTATGATACATTCTTTTATCTTTCCCTCCTTTTTCTTTAACCACCTCGTTTTTAACTGCCATTGTTTACTCAAGAGGCTGAACTAACTCGTGCGAGGCAATTTGGCCCCCAAGTTGCAAGACAAGTTGAGGATTCAATATCCCCTCTTTGAAATTAAAATTTTTCTGAAAGATGTATTGGTGCATTCCTTTGGTTTGATAAACCTTTCCCTATAACTCGTGTATGTAGAAAAACTCAATTCAATTCCTTTGATTAGAGAAAAAAATAATAGAGGTTTTGCCCTTTGATAGATAACTTAAAAAGAAAAAATGTTCATCGAAGAGGAAGAGGAATAGAAACCCTTTATTGATTTAAGTGGAAAGTAACTTTTACACTTCCAACAATTAAAGGGTTCGAACATGCTAATCAGAATTTGCAACTCGTAATCGTGGTGATTACATATTATTACTTGTTAATTAAAACTTTATTAGGGTTAAAAAAGAGAAAGAAAGGGAGGGTTTTAGATCACCTAACCAATGTTTTTATCATATAAATTATGCTTTTGGGACAAAAAATGAAGAGTGACCAAAAAAACAAAAGTGTTGGGTTTCGTGAATTGGCAAAGACTTGGGGGAATGTCAAGAATCAAGCTTTAAGCGACAGTCTAGATCAATAATTTAGTATATTAGTAGAACGGTGTAATTTTGGTGTAATTTTGAAATAAGAATTTAGTTAGAAGTGGTGTAATAGAAGTGGTTATGAGATGCTTTGTATTATCAATGAATAACATAATTGTTTCCTTCTCATTCTCTCATGTCCTCCTCAATTCTCATATATTTTCTATTCTTCCTTTCCTAATTCGTCTCCCTAATTCATCTTCCCAACTTCACTCAAATCTCTGACAAATTGGTATTAGAGCTCTGCAATCCTTGGAGATGGAATAATGGCGAAAAGTACACGTTTTAAATCAATGGACGAACAGGTTAAAAGACAAGAAACAAGGTTGCAAGAATCCATGGAGTTCTTCCAAAATTCCCAGTAGCAGATTCATCTGGAGTTTGGAAATGGCACTAGGGCGGAAATGGCACTAGAGCAGAAATGGAGAATTCCAACAAGAGAATGGAGCCAATGGAAGCTACCGTGGCCAGTCTGGAACAAAAAATTCAACTCTTTTCTGAAGCTGATGTTGAACAAAGAGAGGACGGCCAATGAAGAAGGGATTATGCCTACTCCACCAACACCTTAGAGGATACAAAATTTGGAAGAAATTTCTGGAATAGTTAAGAAGGATGAAGGTAAGGTAGCTACCAAGTTACGAAACCCTCCTAAGATAGAATTGCCCCTTTTCTATGGAGAAAAACCTCAAGATTTACGAAAATGTAATAAATATTTCCTGAGCTATCAAGTTCCTAAAATCCAAAAATTAGAAGTCGTGGAGATGTTTCTAGAAAGGAAGGCTATCCAGTGGTTTCAAGGAATTAAGTTGGAAAAACAAAAATTATCTTGAGAGTTTTGAACATTGTTGTGCAAAAGGTTTGATGACAAGATATGCAGAGATATAGTGGAAGAATTTAACAAACTTTAGCAAATAAGGAATGTGGAAGAATACCAGGGGAAATTTGAAGAATTGAAACCCTTAATGTTGATGAGGAATTCCAATTTGAGTGAAGAGTATTTCATATCTAGCTTTGTTAGTAGTTTTTAAAGAAGAAATCAAGCCTATGATTAAAATGTTAAATCCAGAAAAGCTATCTATTGGGTCAATTGCAAGAATATTCTCTCAAGATTCAAGAAAAATCTGTAAAGGTTACTTCCACTAGTAGGAAGTAACAATTACTACAAAATTCCCCCAAGAATTTCAAAGAAAACCACTTCAGAGAATGGTGGAACCAAGAAAATATCAGTGCAGAAAATACAATTCAAAAGAAATATCGGATTATGTTTCGGGTGTGGAGAGAAGTTTGGGATAGGGCATCAGTGCAAAATGAGACATTTGAATTTTTTGTTTAGTACAGAAGATGATGAAGAATCTGAATTTGAAGATGCTGTGGGAGAGCAAGATGAACACATAGGAAATCCAAGTCAAGTTATAGATATGTCATTGCATGCTTTGTCAGATGCAATTTAAAGAAAAAAATATTACCTAGGTTGGCAATTTAGCTGGTGAAGAAGTGCTAATATTAGTTGATACTGGGAGTTCTGATAGCTATATAAGCACTGAGTTAGTGATTGCCTTGGATGTACCATATTAGATGATTTAGTCATTTGCAGCAATCATGGGAAATAGATCTTGTGTTACCATTAATGCAATTTGTCCAAGGGTGACCTGGAACATTAAACAGTACATATTTAATTTTGATTTGAGAGTTATGAATCTTGGTGGATGGGATATTATTCTAGGTGTGAACTAGATGACTCATTTTTTTTTCAACAAACTAGATGACTCATTTCATTCCTATTATTTTTTACTTCCATCAACTAGCCATTTCCATGTTCAATCAAGGAGAGTCAATTCATTTACAAGAAAGGAAAATTGCAGAAACCTCCCCTGGAACTACTGACACTTGCACTGACCTCCCCTCTAAGTTCAGAAATGGCATACAGCACCCCTGAACCGGAACAATATGTTGCAGAATCAGTCCAGACAGCTTGATGTTCCATTAAAAAATGGGTTAATTCCACTTTGTCCCCCCAAACTTTGGACGATTACCCACTTCAGTTCCTAAACTTCAAAATGGAACACTTAAATCCCTAAACTTATAAATACCTCCCACTTAAGTCCCTAAACTTATAAAATGGGACACTTAAATCCCTAAATCCTTATAAAATGAGACACTTCGACCACCAACAGCATTCAGAATTTGTTAACAATTTTCCTTAAGTGGGAGGTATTTATAAATTTAGGAACTTAAGTGTCCCATTTTAAAATTTAGGGACTGAAGTGGGTAATCATCAAAAGTTTGGGAGGGCAAAGTGGAATTAACCCTTAAAAAATTATTTGTAGAATTGAGATAAGAAATTTCTTCCAAATTTGCCCTGATCTTGTTTGACAAGTAGTATTAACAAGGGAGGGGCATAAACATTAATCATCAAGTAAGTTCAGGGGGTATAAATGCAACATCATGCTTCCAGATGCAGACCTGCAACAACTTCATTTGCTAAGAAACCAACGGCTACTTAACGGCTAATTCTGCAGTTCCTTGCACTAGCTTATAAATGATGGTTAGTCATGCATGAACACCAGGATTACTACAAAATAATGAGCAGCAATTTTCCAACTCAAAACACAGCTTGCTTGATACTCAGTTTGGCAGCTTCCCCTTGAGAATGGCTTCTTCCAGTCACAGGAGAGTATCATGGAACTCCCCAACATCCTTCACAATACAAAGCAAATATTACTGGTGCAATCGAAAGGCAACATTGAAGATTTCTGAGACTGAAAACAACCCCAACAAGTTATATTTTTTTTTGTTCAAAATGCAAGTACTTCCAGTGGTATGAGGGTCCTGAAGAAGAAGAGGTTAACAGTAGAAATTATGACACCAATTCAGTGCTACAATCTCAACAACAGCTACAAAGGTCTACAGCAATGCAAAGGAAAATGCCAATTGTTCTGACAAGTGCAGCGGCTATAAATGTAGCAGTCAACATACTTTTCATCATCAATCTCACACTTGTTGCTGTTTATGTTTTCATCCATATTGTGAAGTCAATAGGCTGATGCTATCCAGAAATGTACATTAGTGAATATGTAGATATAGCTCCAGTTCGAATTGAGGTTGTAAGACATAGGAGAAGAACAAGTTATTCATCATGTATGCAGTAGCATTTGTAGTTTACATTATAAATGCAAGCAGTTAAGTTTATATCTACTGTCATCAATACAAAATCCACTTCATCCAACAATACAAAACAAAACAGTCACGAATCATACTTGCATTACAAGACTAATCCATTAATACAATAAGTCTAATCAGAATTGTGATTGAATTACTGCAAAAGGGCATCACAACATTCCATTAATACAAAAGCACTGAGTAATCCACTTTCAGATGCAGCTGTAGCAACTTGAGATGTAGCAATTTGCTGAACTGCAGCTTGTTCCACAATTTAGGTGATCTGAATAGTATTTGAGTTGTTTCTCTTGCTGCTCCCTCTAGCAGATGCTCCAGTATTGCTTAAAGACCTTCCTCTCTGTACAATCACAGAGATTGAACATTACACTCAAGCATTTTATTGAAGCATGTATAAAATGCAATCATTTGAATGAACCTTTTTCTTTGAAGTGGTTGTTGTGCTCTGAATCTGCACATGCATATTCACAGTTACAGGTTGGCTTGAAGGAGAAGGATTGCTTCCTTGGCTTGAGTGTACAACTGGAACATCGCCAGAGGCATGATCCTAGCAGTAAACATGGACAAGTAGTATTAGCATCGACAAGGCTAAGGCTGTAAATGTTACAATCAGAAGCTTAAATAAAAAAAAAAATCTTACCCAAAGAATTGCTCCTGACAGGCCTGTGTTTGCAGTCTCTCTTCCTCATTTGCCTCTTCTATAGCTCTGTTGTTAAGCAATAAGCTAATATTAAGTAATGAATTGAGTATAAAATAATCAGATTCAGTAGCAAATTCAGCACATATAACACCTGTTGGCCAGAAGTTCTATTGCCATTCTTCTTATTCTGGACAGGTGCTCCTTGGCATGACTTCTTGTTGTGACCAAAAGAGCCACAATTTCCACACTTGAACCTGCTCCATCTTTTTGGTTGTGATGCAGACTGTCCTTCATCATGTTCCCTTCTCCTTTTCACCTTTGGTCTACCTGGAGCTCTCCTCAATGGAGGAGGCAAGATTGTTGCAGGGGTAACATGTGGCCTAGGTGGCCACATTTTTTCATCAGGAATTAGATGAATCATACTTGCATATGTCTTTAAGTACATGTCTCTTGAGAACCAATGCTCACAGTAGGATTCCAGCTTTTGTACAAGGAAGTCTTGAAATTTGAAGTGCTCCACAATCACAACTTTTAACTGGTAAATTGACTATGTAAGACCTGTTCATATCCTGCACTTCAAATACGTCATCAGAAGCCATAGTGAGTTCACATTGTCTTGATGCTTGTCCTATTTTTTGTAGTTTACCAACTATCTTTGGTGTGATGGCAGTGGTGAGCATGCACCCTTTCTGATATCACTTATGCATTTTGTTCATGAACTTCTTCCTCAGCCCATTAACTAGTGTCAAGATAGGTTTCCCTCTTAGCTCACCTATCCATGCATTGAAGGACTTAGTGCAGTTATTTGTGACATGATCACATTTTAGTCCAATATTAAAGGTTTATCTGCACCAAGTTGTTTTGGGAATTTTGTCCAAATATTTCCATACTTCTATGTTTAACTCCTTTTTCATCAGGAATTAGATGAATCATACTTGCATATGTCTTTAAGTACATGTCTCTTGAGAACCAATGCTCACAGTAGGATTCCAGCTTTTGTACAAGGAAGTCTTGAAATTTGAAGTGCTCCACAATCACAACTTTTAACTGGTAAATTGACTATGTAAGACCTGTTCATATCCTGCACTTCAAATACGTCATCAGAAGCCATAGTGAGTTCACATTGTCTTGATGCTTGTCCTATTTTTTGTAGTTTACCAACTATCTTTGGTGTGATGGCAGTGGTGAGCATGCACCCTTTCTGATATCACTTATGCATTTTGTTCATGAACTTCTTCCTCAGCCCATTAACTAGTGTCAAGATAGGTTTCCCTCTTAGCTCACCTATCCATGCATTGAAGGACTTAGTGCAGTTATTTGTGACATGATCACATTTTAGTCCAATATTAAAGGTTTATCTGCACCAAGTTGTTTTGGGAATTTTGTCCAAATATTTCCATACTTCTATGTTTAACTCCTTTATGCTGGCCATGGCTTCATTATGTCCTGCAACATCAAAGCTTTTTACTGCTCTCCAGAACAAGTTACTAAGCAGAATACCAGGAAATTGAGCTTTAAAATTGCTGCAGATATGCCTACAACAATGCCTTTCACTAGCAACAGGCACTATCTCATCATAAGTTATATTCAAGCCCTGAAATGAAAACCAAAACATGCAAATAAGTTACACTGATGCCTAACAAAATCAAAATTAAGTACAAAACTATTCTAGAATCTGCATCTGTTGCATACCTTTTGCCTGTCACTCATGAAGGTTAGAGGACCATTTTCTCTAAATGGCCCAAAAAACTCCTCAAAGGAATGAAAAAACCAACTCCAGGTTTCTTTATTTTCAACTTCAGCCACAACAAATGCAATAGGAAAAATGCTATTGTTAGCATCTAAAGTGACTGCTGTGAGAAGCACACCACCAAAGGGACCTTTTAAAAAACATCCATCAAAACCAACAAAAGGTCTACAGCCTTCAACAAATCCACTTCTTTAAGATTTGAAATTAATAAACATTCTTAGAAATCTAGGTTCAACAAGAAGAGTAGGCCTATCATAATTTATTTTGCAGATATTTTGTGGATTGTATTTCCTGATGAGCTTTACATGCTTTGGCAATTTGGTGTACGATTCACTGTAATTGCCTTCAATCTCATTTCTTGCTTTAGTTAGTGCTCTATACATCTGCCATTTGCTTGGATGCACACCATATTTAATCATCTCTGCTTCTACCCCTTTGGTGGACATGTTAGGGTGAATTCTCATGACTGGTACTAGTTTCTTAGCAATCCAGTCAGCTGTAGCTTCTGTGTTCTTCCTATCCATCACACATGTGTATTTGATAAGTTTTAATCATAAAGGTCATGGAATCTATAACTAGTGATGCATGGATTCTCCATTTGCATCCTTCAACACCACAAATAGCAGTGACTCTGCTCTTCTTATTCTTCAGTCTCATAATTGGAAATCCTTTCTGAATTACATAGTCCTTTAAAGCTGCTCTAAATGCATCGACATTAGTAAACAGTAGACCTTTCTTAAACTCTATGTCTGCTTTTGGGTTATACGTCCACATTTTTTATTTCAAAACTTGCTGAACAGGGTCAGTTTCTTCTTCATTTTCAGAATCAGGAACTATATCACCCTTTCTCATTGTCATCAAAATCAGAAAAGGACATATCAGTTTGATCACTACCTGCCACAAAGGCACTATCAACATCTTATATCCTTCTCATTGTCACTATCCATGCTGTGCAACCAGCTTGAATCAGAGCTAGAATCACTATATTCACCCTCAGAATCATCAATGGCAACAACAGGTACATTGTCCTTTCCTTTTTTTTTTTCTAAGTTCAAATCAGTGTTATGACCATTTTCATTCATCTAATTGGTTTTATCAGATGGAATAATATCCATATCCAGCATATGCACATTAATCACCATAACAGACTTATGCATTTAGAACATTTCACTAACACTATCATCATCTGTAATATCAAACATGTGATCTGTCTTAGGAATCTGGCACCTCATGTGTATTAACTTATTTAGATGCCCAGGGACTTCACTGAACACCTTCTCAGCAACATCAAACAGCAAATTAATGTAACAGTAACTAATTGGATCGACATTTGAAATTCTCACTTGTTTCTCCTCATAGTGGACAGCTATGTTATAAGCAGGAAGAAGAGCCATCCTACGTTTCAAAAGTGACAGTTACTGAGCAAAGAGGAAATCACAACAGCAGACAGTTGTATCTAGTTTGGACACTTATATTTACACTGATGACCAGTCATGAACTCAGACTATTGTTGCATACACCATGTTTATACAAGTCTTAAAAAATCAAAAAATTGATCATGATACATTATCCATTGATAAACATGTCTAAAACAACTAAAATAGCAGAGCAACAAGTCTTAAAGTACAGGCATAGTACATCAGCAAGTCTGAAAACAACTCCAATATCATCACATTTGGTATTGATCATTACTGACAATAACATCACATTTGTTTCTGATGATTACTGACACATTCAACTCATGATGCAAGAGCAAACATGCATTCACTGCAGTCAGGTATTGCCTTAGTATCATAAAAGAGCTAACGTGCAAATTTTGTGCCTTCTAGTGACAACATCAGAAATTATTCACCTATTCAACTTCAGTTCTTGCAAATTAACTGCAGTAGATGTTCAGAATTGGTTCCTATCTCACAGTCACATGTGCCGTTTATCTCTCACGGATCATAAACCTCCCATGAACTAAGCAAAAGTTCCAAATTTCTTCTCTTATGTTTCATTTTCTCAATGGTCAGAATTTTATCAGCAAGTCACGCTCTCTTATGTTGCAAGTAGGCAGCTTATCACCTCAAGAGCAACTTGTCACAAATTGGCACCAATTCATGGCGCCATCTTCCTCAGCAATTGGCGCCCTGTGGTTGCCTCTACAACTAGTCTCAAACACTGACTAAACTCTGAATCAGAGCTAGACGGACAGACAACAGCTTTAGTTAGTTAGTTAATTAGTTAATTAGTTTAATTAGTTTAACATGCAAATAGTTTGTTTAGTTTCGGACAGACAACAGCTTTAGTTAATTAGTTAATTAGCTAATTAGTTAATTAGTTTAACTATGTAGATATCTGATTTTTTAGTTTAATTTGTTTAAGAAAAGATTTGTTGGTTTTGATGAAAGTAAGCTTTAGTTAATTAGTTTAACTATGCAGAAATAGTTTGTTTAGTTTAATTTGTTTAAGAAAGGATTTGTTGGTTTTGATGAAAGTAATTAAACCTTTCATCTGGTAAAGTTAAATCTAATTGGGGTACTCTAGTAAATTCACACACTTTTACCTTTTAAATTGGCTCCAACTTTTTTTAGGGGAGGTCAATGCTATTTCAAAATTGATAGGGGAGGTCAATACTAGTAGTAGAAACCTCAGGGGAGGTTTCTGCAATTATCCCTTTACAAGAACATGCTGATAACTGTGATTTGGACTTGATGAGAGGGAAGGATCTAAGGCATTTTGTAGAATATAAAAAGAGTTGTATGGCTATGAAGGGGGTCAATGAAAGAAAGGGATCAGATGTATCAGATGGGACACAATTTAAAGAAATCAAGGAAATCTTAGAGGAGTTTTCTGAAGTATTTCACACTCCAAATTCATTACCATCTACCAAAGCAGAAGATCATGAAATTCTACTCAATCTAGGGGCATAGCCTTTCAAGTTTAAATCATACAGATGCCCACACTCACAGAAAACATAAATTGAAAAGCAAGCTATTGACATGCTACAACATGGTACAACGAAGTATAGCAACAGTCCATTTGCTTCTCCAGTTTTTCTGGCTAAGAAAAAAGAAGGAACTTGGAGATTTTGTGTGGATTACAAGGAGTTGAATGAGATCACTATCAAAAACAAGTATCCTATTCTAAATGTAGATGAATTGCTGGATGATTAGCTAGTGCAATATTATTGCCTAAACTGGATTTAACTATAAGCTACCATCAAATTAGAGTCAAACCTCAAGATGTGCCAAAAACTGCATTTTAGACACACTGTGGCCATTATGAATTCCTGATCGTGCCTTTTAACTTGACCAATGCTCCAGTAACATTTCAATCATTGATTAATCAGGTTTTTCAGCCCTATCTCAGAAAATTTGTTCTAGTTTTATTTGATGATATATTCGTCTATAGTCCAACAAGGGAATCACATATGCAACATGTGAGAGTGGTGCTAACTATACTTAAAGAAAACTAGTTATTTGCAAAAAGAACCAAATGCACTTTTTCTCAATAAAGAATAGAATATCTAGGCCATACAATATCTTCTGAGGCAGTTAGGATGGATCATATCAAGGTTGAATGTATTTTGACTTGGTCTATTCCTCAGAATATTAAAGAACTAAAGGGATTTCTAGGTTTGATAGGCTACCACAGGAAATTTATCAAAAAATTATGGGCTTATTTGTAGACCTTTAACTGATCTTTTAAAGAATGATGGGTTTCTATGGAACGATTCTGCTCAAGTGGCTTTTAACACTTTAAAAAAGGCAATGAGTATAGCTCTTGTTCTTAAAATTCCAGATTTTTAGAAGCCATTCATTATTGAGACAGATGCTAGTGGGAGAGGTATTAGAGCTGTGTTAATGCAAGATGGACATCCTATTGCTTTTCTGAACAAAGCATTGCCTGCCAAAAATTGGGAGCCTGTTTGTGTATAAGAAGGAATTATTAGTCTTGGTAATGACAGTCACTAAATGGAGACATTACTTGGTGGGATTTCACTTCATTATTAGGACTAATCATCAGTCTCTTAAGTACTTACAGGATCAGAAATTAACCACTACTATACAACACAAGTGGCAAACCAAATTATTAGGACTAGATTATGAAATCCAGTACACAAAAAAGGATCTAATAATATGATGGCAGATGCACTATGAAGAAGAGTGGAGAACTAGGAAGCCGAAACTACAATTGGGAGCTTTTGTATGGCCTTATCAATAGCCGAACAACTATGGATGGAGGAATTAATAAAAAGCTACAAAAATGATGCTCAATGCAAAGACATTATAGCCAAACTAGTGCTAGATCCTGATGCACAACCTCCATACCAATTAGTGGAGGGAATACTGAAGTATAAAGGGAAGATATATGTTGGCTCTAGTAAATGATTTGAGGTTATAGCTCCTGCAAACATTACACTCCTCAGCCATTGGTGGCCATTTGGACAAGGAGGATGTTGGCAGAGAATTAAATCAATTTTCTATTGGCCAGGACTCAAGCAGGATGTGGTCAACTATGTGCAAACTTGCGATGTGTGCCAGAGAAATAAGTCTGAGAACGTCCCTTACCCGGGACTTTTACAACCACTTCTATTGCTTTAACTCGTCCATTTTCAGCAAGGCAAATGGCATAAAACTTCACTGACAACACATATATATATATATATATATTACATGGCATTCCTGAGTCTATTGTATCTGATAGAGATGGAGTCATCATCAGCAACTTTTGGAAGGAATTATTCAAATTGACTAGAATTGATCTTCTCTATAGATCTGCCTATCATCCTCAAATTGATGGGCAGAGTAAGAGACTAAATCAGTGTGTAGAGGCCTATCTAAGGTGTATAACTGGAGAACTGCCTACTAACTGGAGCAAATAGATCTCACTGGCAGAATGGTGGTACAATTCAACATACCATTCCACCTTAAATCTTACCCCATTTGAAGCCTTATATGGATATAAGCCAGTGCCACTACCTATGGGACCTCATTTAGACTCTATTATTCTTACAGCATCACAGATGTTGCAGGAAAGAATTAGGATATTTGCAAGTATCAAAGAGCACTTGATGAAAGCTCAACAGAGTATGAAACTATTTGCAGATCAGCACGGGATAGAAAGGACCTTCAAGGTTGGAGATTGGGATTTTCTAAAACTGCAGCCATATAAGCAATAGTCTGTGGCAGTAAGGAAGAGTCTTAAGTTGGCAGTTAAGTTCTATGGACCTTTTGAAATAGAAGAAAGGATTGGAGAGGTTGCATACAAATTGAAGTTGCCACTGGGAGCTAAAATATTATACCCAATGATTCATGCGTCCTTGATGAAGAAAAGAATAGGAGCATCACAATAGATTACACCTACATTGCCACAATTTAATCTGCAGGATCAATGTCCTCTTGAACCTGAATTGATTTTGAAGAAAGGAGTGATAATGAGAAATGGTAATCCAGTAGTAAAATATCTAATCAAATGGGAACAACTAGCTATAGATGAAGCCTCATGGGAAGACAAGGATTTCATCCAACATCAGTTT